TTAAAGCAAGCAAGGAATTCTTTTAATATTTATTCAAATATAAAACAAATACAACATTTGGGAAATAAATGGTTACATAAAACAAATGGTAAATAAATATAAAATAGAAAAATTTCAATATAATATCACTTATTTTATATAGTACGGTGTCATGGAGAATTTGAATGGCAAGATCCAAAATCTGAAGATGAAGTGTAAGAAATTTTATCAGCTTATTTACATATATTATGTATTCATTAAATTTTTCCTGTATTTATTTAACAGCGTACGAGTCACGTATATTGATAAAGATGGTAAGCGTATCAAAGTTAAAGGAAAAGTAGGAGATAATGTTCTTTACTTAGCTCACAGGCATGGAATCGATATGGAAGGTAAAAATTTTAAAAATTCTACAAAAAAGTACTACTTCATTTCTGAAATCTGTTTTTTTTATTTGTAGTAAAATATTTTGTATTACTGTTCTCTTATTTAAAATTATTTATTGTTACAAAAGTAATTAATTCATTTTAATATGAAGTATTATTTTAAAATCAAACGCATTATTTAATCACATTAAAAATTATAGGAGCATGTGAAGCCTCATTAGCATGTACAACGTGTCATGTTTACGTACATCAGAATTATCAGGACAAACTACCAAATCCTGAAGAAAAAGAAGATGATCTTCTTGACATGGCACCTTTACTGCGTGAAAATTCACGTTTGGGTTGCCAAATTACACTCAGTAAAGAGCTCGATGGAATAGAATTAGAACTACCAAAAGCAACTCGAAACTTTTATGTTGATGGACATAAACCGAAACCTCATTAATTTTAGCTTTGTATTTTGTAAATACAAAAGTCACTTGTAATATCTATGTACAGTAAGTAAAAAATTGTTATATTAATGATTGTAAGATTATAATTGTTAACTAATAAGATTGAGTGATAATAAATTATATTAACAAATTGAAATTTATGATCCTTATTCTTTTGTAAAAAAAACAAAATGTGAACTTCTCATTCCGAACTTAGACCCTGACATATGAATATATCACAAGGTGTATACAGTGACAAACATAATTATTGCTGTTATGCAGTAATTTTTATTAACAAAATTTTTTTAGATAAAATGCTTCATTTGCAATTAAATTTATTTCATTTCATTATATTATCTTTTATATATAATTTCCTGATGAAGACTCTGAGAGGCGAAATATAGAATTAATTAAAAAACAAAGATTTTTAATTTTTACTGAAAAAAAGTGGCCTATAGCTAATTAAAAAATAAGCAAAAAATCATAAAAGGTCGATAAACAAACTCAAAGTTTTATATATATAATTTATTAAAATTAAAAACCCAATAAAGTACTTAAATAGGCTCTATGAATTTATTGGCACACTTAGTTTCCAACGAACAATTATATTTAATATATGTATACATTTATTATTTAAAAATATGATATATAATTTCACAAAGTCCATTTGATGGTATTAAATTGAATAAAATATTTGACAGTGACTCTTAATAGACATTTTTCAGTTTGCCAAGGAATAAAGAGCGTAAGCTGCCGAGCCTGTTTCTAGCTATGATATAGTATAAATATGACCATCTGAGAGGGCTTCAAACCGACACCGTGTCGAAGTTTGCATTTTTCTCAGAGCAAAAGCTGGAACCGAAACGTAAATCAATATGATTTATTTCCGTTCGCCACCACCAGTTCGGTACTAGTTTATTTGCGCGAATTTCTTTACAGTTGTAATTATTTAGTTAACATCTAGTTTTTAATTCTAATTTTGTCTCAAATTATACATAATTTTTTTAAATCGTACCATTTTCAAATACAATGCAATCAACAATTCAAAAAAGTTAATATAAATAAAGTTAAAATAACCGATGACCAAATATTACTGCTCTTTAAAAGAATTAATCAAAACAACTTAGTTTTGACAAAAAGTTTTGAACATAGATTACAAATATTAACTTGAAACTAACTCAAAAAAAATTTTTATAGAGCTGAAAACCAATATCAAACCTATACATTTTTAATTAAACTGCTACGAAAAAAATTCAGACTCAAAAATTAAATTATAATATATACATATTGATAAAGTTGAAATATGTTAGAAATGACATAAAAACATAATTTTTGTTGGATTTTTTTTTATTTGTTTTCAATCTCTTACAAATTATTAAAACTTATAAACAAAAACATTTGCTTCAGAATAAGTAAAAAATAAGAAGAAGTCAACTACAAAATAAAGTTACAATTTACTAAATTTATTATGCTTAAATTAAATTTTTTTTAAAATTAATTTCTGAATGTTTATAGTAATATATTATAATGCGCACAAAAAACAAGTCTTTCCAACAACTTTATGAAACTAACACTTATAGAAAAAAAAATTTATAATTTATATATATATAAGCTGATAAATTAAGTAAGAGTTCTCTTACCTATTTCTGCATAACTGTTTGTCATGTAAATAATAATAACTAAATTAGAAAATTTAAAAACTTGATTCAAATCTTGTAAATATACAATATGAGGAATATTTACTAATTTAAGTAGAATAATTAATTTGTTGAGGGACTATTTGAACGTGAGTCTGAAGAACTTTCTTTTTCTTCATTTTCTATACGTTCGTCACGCTCCTCTTGTTCATCTCCTCCGCGGCTTTCTTCCTTATCTTCTTTAACTTCATTCGACTTTATTTCAATAATCTCTTCTTTAGGTGATACATTTTCACGTTTTTCTCTACCATTTTTCTTGTTACCTTTCTTCAAGCCTGCTACCTCTTTTAATAAGTTAGATACCTTGCGATTAAGATTTTCTACTTTCATTTCGTTTAATCGCTCTTGTTCTTTCATTTTATTACGCATTTCAATTTCCTTTTCAAACATCTTTCCTTTCAACTCTGTCACCTGAAAAGTGAAAGAACATCAATTAAAAAATTATATGTTTAATATTTTAACTAACATACCAGTTTATCTTTTTCCAACAAATCTTTATCTTTAAGCTGTAGGCGTTTTTCAAGACTAGCAATACGCTCCTTAAGATTTGTCATAGCAACTACATGATCAGCTGAGTTAGGATCAATCGATATAACAGCTGGTGTGCCTAATGATCCTAAACCAATAATTGCTCCATTTCCACTTCCACTACTGCCGCCAGAACCTGTGCGTGAAATTTTATCGGGTAAATCCAATCCAGCTGCGCTAACAGCTGATGTACTTCCTTTCGTTAAATCAGCAGAAGTCCGAGATGATTTCTTGGCTGAAGCTGAGGAATTTTCTCTGTGCGATTTTTCGTGAGGTCGTTTCTTTGAAGGTAATCGCCCTTCCTGCTGTGCTTTGAGAAGGGCACGTTTAAATGAGCAGGTACATAGCCAACAGAGCAATTTGCCATTGACCTGTGTAATATACATTAAAAACATAATATTAAATGGTCAGTTTAACAAACATAATTTACAAACTACTATACTACGGTTTAAATTCAACAATTTAAGAACGCAAACATTTACAAAATTATTTTGTCATTCATTACAACACTACATATCCAGACCTTAGTTAATTTTAGATTGATAGGTACATATCTTGAATTAATTTACAATTAAGATATTCAAAGTTTTACAGCAAATTAAATTATGCGAATTTACATATTTATTACTAAAAGCTTATAAAATACAGTTTAAATATTTTTGCGAGGTTTTGGTGGTAGTACATTATTGATTGAATCTGTCGACTTCGCTCGCTAACCTTTTTATTCTCGTCATGTTTATCAAATGCGGATCGTTGTTTGCACTCATCACATTGTACAGGTGGACCGTATTTTACTTCATAGCTAGCACATCTGTTATTGACATCGAACGTTAGTAGGGATTGTTGTGAATAACATATAAGTTGATTTGTGTATTCATTGAATAAATATTATGCAGAAGAAAAGAGAAGAAGAAAATGTTTGCGTTCATAACGTTGAATTTTTTTTAAGGAGTCTTGATTCTTAAGAATCAATAGTACAAAAAAAAGAAATATGATTAAAATTGAAGGCACAACATAAGGAATAAAGGGTTTGGAGTTTTATTTATATAATAATACGTTATATTAAAATCGTACCCTTGTGTTATATATATATATAATAATATTTAAGGATGTATTATTCTATTTAGTAATTATATTAAGTCATAATAACATTTAAGAAATACCATTTTCTTAAGTATTAAATTATATATATAAACATATAACAATAACATCTATCAATTTACTAATTCAGCCAAGTATCTATTTATATATTTGTATATCAGATATTTTCATAGGAGCACATATACTTTTCCTCCCATATTAAATGTTTACCCAATTTAAAAAAAAAAGAATATCAAATCACTTTTGACACTTCTAATATGAAACATAGACATTAGTTTGATACTTTCATTAATTATTCTTTTGAAGTGCATTGAACTTACAGTTATAGTCGTTCCCGAACGACTTCTTGCGTTGACAATTTGATACTTGCGGTTTTTGAATTAATTTTGACTTTTGACATGTAAAACAACCCATACCCTCCTTTCTTATCATTGTGCATTCAGTATATCCAAATCAGTTTATAGGATTAAAATATGTCCAGTTTTGAACATTTTATACATACCTCATACACTTAGTACTGTTGAAAGCTGCGACAATTTTGCAGCATTCGCATGCAGATGGCTTGCCGTATTTGCTTAAACAATGTTCACACTTTTTGCATGCGCTTTGTGATTTCCTAAATTTCAGCCATCGAAATATACGAAGATAATAATATGAAGTCACATAACAAATAACTGGATATTTCATTTATACTCACATTACGGGCTGAAATTCTGAACGGCAATAAGTACAACATTTAGCGGCCGATGTAACGCGGCAGTTCTGTAAATAGAAATTTAAAATATAACTTGAACTTTACTATTTATTGCATAGCATTGTTTTTTTTTCACTCATAGCAAAACCTTTGGCAATGACACAAAATTTGGCAAACTTTTTTGTTTACATTTAATGCGCATTTACAATTATTTTATATCACGTTTTAGCTGTTTGATTTTGTTTATCTTGGAATAAGTTTCTTCAAACACGTGTTAATCTTTGCAACCAAATCATTAATTACGAGGAAATGTATTATTTTTTCCAATTTTGAACTGTATGCTGACACATACCTTGCAAAGTTGTGAACCCGAAGACAATTCTTCAAACGGGTGCCTTGAAAAGCATTTTGAACATGCAAACAATACTTTTCCACTCATTTTGTACTGTTTATTTATTTATTCACTAAAAATGGAACTATACTAAAAACGTAAAAGTACTCAATAATCAAATTTAATGTAACATAAAATATATTTATTAATTTTTACAGAAGGACGCAATTTCCCACTCTTTAGACGATTTTTTTAAGTAAATTAAAGATGGCGTACAGTCTGATGAGTGTCGCTACGTCAATCGAAATTCGAACATATTTTGGAATGCTTTCGCATACATACAACGCAATCATTTAAACGCGCCCCTGAGTTGCATTTTGCATACAGCATGTAATCAATTGGTCAATAAAACTTAAAAAAATTGTTTATATAAAATGCCCGCCAATAACTTTATTATGTCATTGATTTTATATATATTTATACAAGTTACCCTATTAAATAAAATTATCTGTAGGTATTTTTGTATTTACATATACTTATCAACCCAAAATTTGTTTAAAATTTTTTTTTATTTAATTATTCGTAAGCAACCTGAAATTGTTCTATTGGAAGAATACACCCAATATAATCTCAATGATTATTACTTAGTTATTATTAAAACATCTACAATATACATATCAGAGAATAATCTTCTTTGATACATATTTTCCGTTTTTACAAAATCTAAAGTGTAGAATATTTCCAATTGACTAAAAGAGTTTGTTATTTCGCATGGAACCATATAATACGGACAGCTATATGACGAAAGGCATATTATACAAAAAGTCATATCACAATTATAATTATTCTAACTTAACCACCATTTTGTTGCTTTTTTGTGCCTAATAGCACATTCACGCTATTTCATTTATACGATTTTGCTCATTAAGGTCGCTAACGAGAATAACTTATACAAAAATCTTTTATATAAATGAGTTCATTATCAATAAATCAGCTCATTTAAGGCGAAAAATGCCAAATGCAACCCTTAAAAATAAATTTCGCAATAGAGAAATTACTAAAAGTTGAAATATTTGTTAAATATTTCATATGTAAAATATAAACAAACAACAGCTGAGCTGTAAGCAAAGGCACTGAGGAAGTAAGTATTTAATAAAATCTTTGTTTTTACTAATTTAATATGTAACTGATATATGAAATGTATATAAACGATTTTGTAAATCAACTATATATTTAGTTTTTTATGTGTGTTGTAGTATTAAATTAAATTTATACGAGTTTTATCAATTGAATAAATGAGCTAATTATAATATAAACTTTCACTTATTAATATTAATGACCAAGTGCCTAAATAAGACAGTGTGAATGTACTAGTTAGTTAGTTCTTCTTTATTAATAATTTAAAAAACATACAATCATTATCCATACTTTATACATTTTTTTACTTAAAGCTATGACTAATGTCGTCAGCTTCAGTGTGAATGTACTATAAGAAATATTTATATATATTTGAGAAAAAGTAATACGCACTAAAAATAAGATGAAGAGAATAATATTACATTCACACCAGAGTTTTGATTACAATTTTATATTGGATTCAGGCAAGAGTTTCAATTGTAATTTTACTTGTCAAAATTTTAAACTGATACCTGAAGTTAAAAAGCATAAATATTGATACACGACAAATTATTGTAATTGAACTACTTTATTTACACTTCTTAACTACTTTGATAAAGTATTTATTTTGCACATATGTTATATATATAATAAATAATAGTTTTGTTTAATTTTGTATAAAAATTGAATTCATTCCTCAAAACTATTCACAATAGAGCAACTTTGTACTTGGAAATATTGTACTACGGTGAACTATTCATATTAAAATCAACTGGATTTTGTAGAAATCACGTTTTGATTTTGCTTTCAGTTGTCATAATTCCAATACAAATCTTTATGATTTGAATTTGAAATTACATCTAAAATTATAAACAAAACTCTTGTGTGAATCCAATATAAGATATCGAATTTGTAACTAAACTAAAAAAATTACGCTCATTATCATATATATATCAAAAGTTAATTTTAAAATGTATTTAAATAAGTATGTGTGTGCCTTTACACATAATGCATGAGTTCTTTATTCTATATACTTCGCGTGGGGCATAATGCCTTCGCCTACACACATATGTCATATATTTCAATAAGTTCGCTTTTGACTGCTAAATGCAACTCTGTAATTCAGTAAAGCCAACTTCAAATGTTTGATATCAAGCGGTTGAAAATCAAATTTTTTTTGAAGTCCGGAGAAACAAACGAATGTTATTTGGTGTACATTTTAATTTATGTTCATAAATGAAATTGGTTATATGGTTGTCGCGGATTTCATAAATTTTAAGATAAATTAAAATTCTAAAGAGAAATAAATAATGACATCATTACAAAAGAACATAAAAGTTGTTGTCAGAGTTCGGCCATACAATCGCAAAGAACTGGAACAAAATCAAAGATGCGTCATAAAAGTTTTGGATGAAGGTTGTCTACTTTTCGATCCCGACGAAGAAGACGAAGACTTTTTTTATCAAGGCGCCAAACAAAGTTATCGGGATATCACGAAGCGTATTAATAAGAAACTTAGTATGGATTTTGATAGAGTGTACGACACTTGTGCAACCAATATAAATATATTTGAGGAGTGTACAGCGCCTTTAGTAGATACTGTTTTGAATGGGTAAATATATTTAAATTACTATGTTATTTATATTAAATGGTTTTAAAAATCATTGATTATAGGTACAATTGTTCTGTATTTGTATACGGAGCTACTGGGGCAGGCAAAACATTTACTATGTTAGGAAATGAGTCAATCCCTGGACTTACGTATCTGACAATGCGTGATCTTTTTAATAAGATACAACTTCAAAACGAACAACGTAAATTTGATGTCGGTGTTAGTTATTTAGAAGTGTACAATGAACAAGTTATGAATTTATTAAATAAATCCGGTCCTATGAAATTGCGAGAGGACTCAAACGGAGTTGTTGTGAGTGGTCTCATACTGAGACCTATATATAGTGCTGAAGAACTATTACGACTGTTGGCACAAGGAAATTCCAATCGAACACAACATCCAACAGATGCAAATGCTGAAAGTTCACGATCTCATGCAATATTTCAGGTGCATATACGTATGACTGACCGCAAAACTGGCACAAAACGTACAGTTAAATTATCAATGATAGATTTAGCTGGAAGCGAGAGAGCTGCTAGTACAAAAGGAATTGGTGTGCGCTTTAAGGAAGGTGCAAGTATTAATAAAAGTTTATTGGCACTGGGTAATTGTATAAATAAGTTAGCTGATGGTCTCAAGCATATACCATATCGCGATTCTAATTTAACACGTATATTGAAAGATTCCTTAGGAGGTAACTGTCAAACTTTGATGGTTGCAAATGTCTCTATGAGTTCGTTAACATACGAAGATACTTACAATACTTTAAAGGTAATTATGTGAAAATTTACTATTAAATATAATCAGTTTAATATTTGTTGTTTTTATTAAATACAGTATGCAAGTCGGGCTAAAAAGATACGAACAACATTGAAACAAAATGTTCTTGTATCGAATATGCCGAAGGACTATTATATTAAAAAGGTAACAGAATTATTAGCTGAAAATGAAAAGCTTAAGGAGATAAATAAAGTATACGAGACGAATACGGCTTTAACACAAGAATCTGCAGAGAAACAATCTACATGCGATGAAAGCAAACTTGAATTATGGTACCGGAAAATATGTAATGTTTGCTTACCGGTTGTAACAGCACAAGATAATGTGCTTGAATTACAAAGTCGTATGAAAACCTTAGAGTTCAAAATGAAGATAAAAACTGACTCCGATAAAGCAAATAGGAACTTGAAATTACATAAATCTGTATCGGAAGATGTAAGTTTAAAATTTTATATTTAATTTAAACTCTATAGTTTACAAAAGTATTGTTATTTAGCTAGAATTTTCAATAGAATTATATTTTGAATTCAATTTCATAGTTGGAATATGTATAAGTTCACAAACAAACTTGGTTTTAGTTAATTTGATAACTCATAGTAATATTTATTTATTAGTATTTATTAAATGGTAGATTCTATTTTGAACCTGCCACGATGTTGGCATGGTTAATTCAGACTTTATTAAATAGATTCATGATTTTTGGGATTATTTGGTTATCACCAATTAATATTCCGCTTTAGCATATATAATAGACTCTTATACATTAAAACCGCTTTGTTTTCCGAGAAGTTATATCTGAAATATTTTCTTATTTCTGGACTTTTTTCTGATAAGACGGAAGATAAATGCAAAAATAAAAGTAATTGTGTGCTTAGTTGAAATAATACAATCTTTTTGCACCATTTCATTACGTAATAAATACTTTAAACAGACACACTAGAATAAAAATTCTGTAATTTCCCGTTTTTAGTTTTATTTTGTGTACCACCTACGTCCAAAAAAAAAACAAGGCTCTTCGAAATATGTATCGCCAGTTCTTATTCCAGAGCAATCAATGCATGTTAAAATAAGGTTCCGATTACTATCGTAATATTTTCTAATAGTTCAGTTTATTTTATTTATGGAATAGTTAGAAAGCTACTCTACTCTTACCAATTTTATATATGTACAATAATGTATTAAAAAAATTGATTACTAAATTCCTATTGCTAATATCTTAAGAACCAATTAGTGTATGTATCAATCTATAGTTATAGAGTTGCACTATATTCAGCGTGAAGTTTGAACTAGGAATATGATCTAATTGGAAAAAATATTAATTTTAATATAATTAATATAAAATAACTGATTTTACAACTGTTATAACTTGTTAAATTTATTTTAAAATAATCTTTGTTTATACAATTTAATGTTGATGAAGATGACCTTTCAGCGACGACCCATAACTATATATATGGGTTGGCGTTGTAACTCTAAGATATGATAGCGATAATAAATCATAAATCATATAAGCAATAGTAGATATTCGATATGCTTGATCGAAGATTATAAAATCTTTATCTCTCTAAAATTTAAGTTTTAGATTAGGTTAGGTTATACCAGCGATTCCTAGTGGATCCACTTAGGTCTATTGGCCAATTGTGTTACCGAATAGCGAAATTTAAGTTTTAATTTGATATAATTTTTTGAGTATATATTATTTTTCAAATGTATATGGAAAAATTACAATTCAATGAAATTTACAGAATTTAAAAATTTTCACAAACAAATTCAGAACAATAAATATTTTTTATTTTAAATGCACTATGACTCTCCTAACAGTTCCTTCTGCTTCACAGCTAATAGTTTCTCTGCTTCTGCTACATATTTATCAGCTAATGCAGTGACTTGTGTTTGAATAGCAAAGACATCGTCTTTGGAAATATCAGTCTGTTTTTTAACTTTTTTTATGGTGTTATTTTGTACATCCTTGATAGCATCTCGGTGTTTTATAAATAAAGTTTTTGCATTCTTAGAAAGGTTTTCTCGATGTTCTTTTGTGACCTTTGGTATCGGTATGAATAGTGTGGTGCCATCTTGTTGTGGATTCAAATTCATACCGCTTTTTGTTATTGCTTCTAATACAGCTGGTATGGTCTGTGGAAAACCAATCATATTGACCATAATTGTTTTTGGATTTTTGCGTGATATTTGTGCCAGTTCTTGCAGTTCGTGCTCTGTACCATCTACGTTGACGCGCAGTGTGTCAATTGCGCCCGAAGTTGAACGCAGCGAAAGATGTTTCAAGAAGTCATCTTTCATATGCTCCACCGTTTTTTGCATTTGACCGTTGATCGCATCAAAATTAATTATGTCGCGTAATTGTGCTTCATTGATCTCAACTTTGACTGGCTTTTTCCCTTTCTCCTTTTTTTTGTCCTTGCTTTTTGCATAATTACGTACTTGGTGAGTTGTTGGCAAAGTTAACGCCGCTGGAGAAACTAAACTTTGTGGATGCGGTACGCCTCTGCAGTAATTAAGTTGTGTGCAGCGAAGTTGACGCATAAAAACGCTTCTAATTATTGGTGACAAAGTTTTTGTATACATTTTTTTAATAACAAAATATTAAACTCTTCGTTTTGTAAATTATCAGCGGTAAAAGTTATTTCAGTCTACGTTTTTGACGTTTCTTCATTCTCTGCTTGTTTATGTCATATTTTTTCTCTCATATTTTTCGTGCGTCTGAAATCGTAAAAAAAAATTAACGTATTTTAAGAGTTTGAAGTGCTTTAACTATTTACCAATAATTAGTTATAAACTATAGAAACTGGAAAAATATCTTATATATCAATAAATAAATATTAATAATAATAATATAAAAATATATAGACATAAAACGATTGTTTTAATCACTAACAATACGTGATATATTTCTATCTATTTCTATATATTTCTATCTATTTCTATATATTTCTATATATTTCTATTCCTTTATCACTTTATCCGATCTTTAAAAATATTTGAGTTTTTCGACTTTACATCCAATTATTGTCATTGTCTATTGAAAGATCTTCCTACGGACCTCTTTATTGAGCGGATAGCCCTGAACGCCCCTGTAGGTTAGACACATATGTTGAATAGACACACCTGATTAGTAGACATACCTGTCGAATGGACACACCTGTTGAATAGACACACCTGTTGAATAGGCACACCTGTCGCATAGACACACCTGTTGAGTAGACACCCCTGCTTGTTAGACAAACCTGTAAAATGGACACCTGTCTTGGGAGAGCAATTTTTCAAAAATTAAATATTTTAATATTATTTTGTCTTGACTTTACATCCAATTAATGTGGTTAGTAAAATTGTCTGACAGACACCTCTGCTGTGCGAATACCACTGTGGAATGCACATGCCTGTTGAATAGACATCTATTTTAAATAGACACATGTCTTATGTTAAGTTAGGTTTTACATATTAACCTATTGTGTTACCGTATAAGAACTATTAGATTGGAAAAAATATCTTGACCCTTTAGTAAAATTTAAAATGTGCTTTAGACGGTGATCCTGTAGCTAGCCAGGATCCTCAAACAAGCAAATCTCCAGTATAGTCAATCGACTCGTTCAATCGACTATTTGTGCTGCTTAGTAACAAAGTAGATATGAGGCAATTTTCTCGTTTTCCGCATAACTGCGACAGGAATGCTTAAACGGGAGATTTAATATTCTAGAATAGTAGAGAACTGGCTGACACCCGTCAACAAACCTATCACAAGACTGGTATCTTTATGGGGCATCACAATTAGATTGCTGGATTTTTTCATAATAGAATGTGGCCAACTTGTATACAAATACCCGCATGTTGTTGAGTCTTCCCACCTTATATTGAAATATTTAATACAGAAAGATTTGTACAACCGACATTTGTCATAGGCGAATTATTTTTCAAAAACGTTAGATATCTCTAACCATAATTAGCGGACAAAAGTTAATTGTTGCTTTAAGAATTTTTTATTTTCAGTTTTAGTTTTATCAGTTTTATTCAATATGTTTAATTTCAATAATATTAATGAGCCGGCCATCATCATTCGAAGAATTTTGAACCTTTTAATATTTTTATGTTGACCAATATTCATGAAGCCAGCATTTCAGGAATTCTTGAATTCATGGACCAAGCATTACCTAAACTTAAACCATTTCGCTACTAAGCATTTATATATTTAGGAATTTATTATTTTTGTGTTAAATATGTAAAACAACATTAACAAAGCTATTAATATTTTCCAACTATTTCAGGACGTTTCTCTGGATTCAGCATTTATAATGCAATATGAGAAGAAAAAAGAAATTCTAACGTCAGAATTGAAGCGCTGGCGCGATAAATGGTACTTGGCTGTCAGAGAGTTAAACAGAACAAAAAAAGAATTAAAAAACACAGGTTACGATTTTCCTTCACGTTTAATGCTACAAGAACAAAACCTAGTGATTGAAAATTCTAAACTCAAAAACCACACGGATCACTACAAACGTCTTAATATAGAATTTTTTTCTGACACAAATCAACGCAATAATATTATAATGACATGTTTTACATTCATACAAGATATGTACAATGATTTGTCTGCGAATAATGATATCAATCCTAACAGGGAACAAAGCTTCCAACGTTTTAATCAAATTATTAAATCTAAGAGTACATCTTTTCTAGACGATAAAAATTGGAATGCAATGAAGAGTATTCGAAATAATGAGAACAAACATGCTTTGCCTGCTGATGACGATTCTCCCGGATCCAGTACGTCAAAGCGACCACGACAAATATTTGATAATTTTGACATCAATTTCAATGAACTCGAAGAAAAAATGGAAACTTCAGACGATGACGACATGTACAGTTCAAATAAAGTATTTAAGACACCTTTGGCAGTTTCACAAAATCCGAATGAAACGCGTATTATAAAAAAATCAGTTGAAGAAGAACAAGATGGAACTCAAATTATAACAAATACGGTAACCTCCAAGGTAAAACCTTTATTCCAAACTTTAAAACCCGCAGTAACAGCGAAAAAGAATTTGGTAACTAATATATTATCAGAAAAAATAGTTCAAGTTCCACAAAATAAAGAGCACGTAAAAAATGGTGAGTGAATATAACTCATATTTATATTATAATTAATATTATTAAATTATGCGTAAATTACAGTTCTTCTAAAATCGAAAAATTTTAATCAAGGGCTTCTCAAGACTGCCATAGGTGGTACTCTAAAAGAAAATAAAAAATATAGTCCATCCCGTGTCCGAAAGAGTCCACGAACTATTGTATCGAAAGGTAAACATAATTTAAATTTAAATATATATATAAAATTTATTAAAATAATAAATTTTTTCGATTTCTATAGTTGCCAATACTGCGAATTTTGCTAAACGACAACCACCACGAAATGTCCCTGGAATGGCGGAACCCAATGTAAGAATTAATCGCGCCGCCTCATTTCGCGTTAAAAAGCACTAAAACGTATGGTGTTCTCAACACATTAAACTAAAATTTTAAGTTTTTTTATTTTTCTCACTTTTACTAAATTCTAAATGTATATTTGATTTTAAAGTTTTTTTTTCTTTTTTTTTATACCATATAAAATAAACTTTTTTAAATAATATGTAAAAATTATGATATTTGTTATATAGTCGTCTCTATAGTCTAATATAATTATACATATTTTATTTACGTTTATAAATATTTATAAAATATGGATGTTGTTTAACTTCTTCAAACCATCCATTACGAAAACCGCTGATAGTATTTGTAATATCTTCGCGTGAAGGCAATAAGCGATTTATTAAATTAAGTACTCCGAATAAAAGGTACCATAAAAGTCCCAAATTCAAAATTAGTGATAAAGTTGATGGAAATGTTGCTGTACGATATAAAATATCACCCACATTTTTTCTTTGGACTATGTGTGTTGCGCTAAGTAACGGTTCGGCGTAAGGTGTCATGGGGTCCCGCGGTGTTTCGTGAACTATTGCTGTAACTTCCGAGCTCTTTACATCAGTGTCAAATGCTGTATCTATTTCTGGTGCAAGTATTTCATTATTGTTATTTGTGTGTTTTAAATAATTTAAATTTTGTCTTTTTAGCGTAAGTGGTAATACATTTAATTTGTCAATATTTAAAGTTGCATTAGAATTTAATTTTGTATTCTTTATGTCACTATCAGCAAATGCTGTTGTTATTACTAAAATTACGAAAAATATTTTATTTACACACAACATATTTAAAACTAAGTTCAGATGAAAAATGAGCAACTTCTTCAAGCGGAATATGATATTTATATGACTTGTCAGCGCATCATTGTGGTTGAACTGCAAAATGAAGAAAGAAATTTGATGGACAGTTTGACGCGTTATTAGTTTAACTAGACAAATTGTGTTTAAATAGTGAAAGGTTCACTGAATATGACACGAAAACAAATTCAGTGTTATTTTTTCTTAAAAATATTTTTTTATACTAAAATTAATTGAAATGAAATTTATTTTTTGTTTGGTTTCAATATGCAGTAATGATCTGTACGGTTTCAATGCTCAATGATGTTGTTGACTAGAGAAGAATATTCTAAATGTTTTATTCTAGTATTCGCAGGATACTATCCTTTTTCCTTAATAATACTCCAGTATTCCAGTAATTAACAAATATGGTTCGCAATTGTTGTTGTTGTGTAGACAAATAGATTCTCTATTTTGAAATCCCTTTGAAAGGTGTTGAACGATACTTGGTCCTTGATGGCGACAAGTGGCATCTGAACGTAGACCTGACCGTTTTTGGAATCTGTCAGCGATAATCTTCTGTAGTTGTTGCACTAATATAGGTACAAAAAAAATTTGATGAGAAATAAAATTTATTATTAGCCCCGTTTTTTTCTTCTTCATGTAGAGATTTAAAGAAATATTTGTAAACATTATAGTGTATTGAAATCAATAGTAAGAATAGTAGAACTATTTGTAAATACAAGTACTATACTTTACTGTACTATATTTTAAACAGTAGTTAGTTTAATACATCAGTTACTAAACTCAGGGAGCGATACAAAGAAAGAAGTCACAAAACAATCGAAACGGCGAATAAAAGATATTGAAATATTAGCACTATTATTGTAAGCTATAGCACTAGGTGTGAGACAGAGATACTTTAATAGTGCTTTTCCAATCTATGTGGTTAATGGCATTAGTTTTAAAATGACGAAATTGCGTTATATTACTTTTCTTATCCAGTTCTATATCATATACAGCTTAAGAGTTTAAAAATATCAAGTTTTCTAAAACATATCAACATGTGATAATTTTAGTCAGATACTTTATGTGAAACATTGAGTAAAACACTAGGGATTGAGCACTTTGCTTACTTTCCTTACATATAAAATATAAAATTTTTTTATCTTCACATTTGTGTTAGTTTTAGAATCGTACAGTCTTGGTATATATCTTCCTATAAAACGAAAATTGATGATAAAAATTATTTATTAAACTTTTATAAAAATTTCAATATGGAAAATATTGGTAAAATTATGGCTTATATGAAATTATAGTTAATTTTAATATTATTTTTATACTTAACAACCGAAATCTCAAGAATGTTAAACAAATATCGAAAATGTCAATATCAAGTTATACTAAAAATTTTGAAAAAACAGAACAAAACTTTTTTAAAATTATATATATTCATAATAATATCCTTATAAAATAAATCTAATCCAATATATACTAACCGTGTTATTTGTAGACAGTTTTTCAAATTACTCTTATAATGAAAATATTGCTATGGGGTATCTCTGCTAATAGGATTAAATAACAGACAACCCTAACCTTCATTCCTACAACATATTATAAATAAGCAACACAGTATTCCATAGCAGCTTCAAAAAGTAAATCTTTACTAGATAAATTATATAATTGGACTGTGTAATACACAGATGGCTTTAAAACGGACACATCATTACGTTTGTGGTGGTATTCTATTTCATTTCTCAAATTTCGGGAAGTAGGCTAACTAATGGCGTCACTGCAAAAGCCTACGCTAATAAAGTTCCCCACAATCACTTCATATTTGTAGTCTACTTCGATAACTATAGTCTACTTATAAGCAATAATCAAATGCTATTACAATAGTAAGGTCAATATCAGGTAAAGGATACACTCCAAGAAGCTTAAAGTTGTGTGGATCTTCGAATATGACGGCATACCTGGGAACAAATCATACTGTCCTTACTTTATCTTTACAACTTACAAAATTGTAGACATTTGCAACATTATAAATGTTCACATTAATGGCATTGTGAAGCAAAACTGCCAAGCCTTTCGGCATCATTATCGTTCTTTCGATCTGAGGGGCATTAAGCCGAAATTTTTGAGTACATGCAGCGATTTACTGTATTTTCACGTTTTAGAATCGGACACACTTTCGCGTCGGATAAAAACATACTCTCAGGAACCCTTTAAGTGTTTTCAGGATTTTTCAATGGTCTCATATCACCTTTTCATATCACTGATTCCGATCGCATTTTTTCCAATCAAAGTCTGGGTCATTTTGACTGGAATATCCTTTTCCATCGTCTGGCTCGCCTTGTTTTAGTTAACATCGAATGTTTTTAGAAATTATTGGTAGAAATTCGATGTCTGTATCTAATTTAGCACATTTCTTTCGTGAAAACTGTAATATTGAATTTAGCCTTAATCTAGCTTCTCTATATCTTGTTTTTATGAACCTTATGATTATTAGTGTACTTTGTTATCTTAATATCATTATTATTTTATTATTTCTATTATTATCACTTTGTTATTAATTTTATGTAATTAACATAATCCAAAGTCAATGGCCTCTGCTGCCAGTACTGTCTATTCGCTTAGATATTTTATTATCGTATATCCGCGTTATAAACAAATCTTTTATACTACATATTATTATTCAAGTATTTATAAATATCATTACACATTTGTAAATAATATTTTTACTTAAAGCATTCTCCTGATAGTATATGTATATACATATGTACATATAAAAATTGTAAACACTTAAGATTTAATTTTTTTACTCTCACTTGCTATATTAGTTTTATTTGTTATTTCTTATCAATTATTTAGTTTATGGAAATTTATTGTCATTCATACAAAGCTATTAATTTAATAAACAGTAACTAAATAAAAAGAAAAGAAAAAAACCATCGTTAAATAAAAAAAAATTAAATTCAAAAGTAAAAATATTTTTATGTGCACATTTATATATGAGTATATGTATAAGTATAATACATTATGGTCATTACACAAAAATCCCATTGATTATAAAATAGTAAATATTTCTATAAAAAAAATCTCATAACATTTATAACAATAACAAATAATAGAATTTAAAGAATTTGTTCAGCTTTTAGCACCACTGAAGGATTTTCAATAACATCTTTGCTTTGTATTAGCTTAAGTTCTCTCTCTTTTGAGGTAACCTTACATTTACCCTCCCGCATATTAGTCGGCATCATTTCCAAAGTACGTTTAATAACAGCTTGCAAAGATGCAATGGTTTTCTCTAAAGCTATTCCTAAGTCCGTTGTCTCATAACTATGTGCCAAGAATAACGAAGCAAACAGATCACCAGTACCAGTAAATGATATATTAACCCCTTGTCGTGGTATATTAATAGCAAATCGTGGCCCATTTTTTTTACTAATAAATGCACGTAATTCTCCAGGTTTGCCCAAGTCACTGCTTGAAATAGCCACAGTATCAATATTACGTTCATGAAACCATTCCACCGCCGCCCAAATATCTGCTTCAGTATTTATTTTCCGTTCTGTCAGCAATTCTACTTCATATTGATTCGGTGTGATTATATCAGCAAGTGGTATGATTTCGTCACGATAAATCGGCAACAGCTCCTTAGGTACATACATAGTACCATCGTCACCCATTACTGGATCACACACTAAAAAAATTTATCAATTTAATATTTTTTATGCAAATTTATATGCGTTGATAATTTTTAAGATTTATTGCAGTTTGTTTACCATGACAATCACTTTTTTTTACTATACTTACCATATATCAAATTAGCATTGGCCTGACGTAATTTTTTTAATATTTGTGCCACTTGTCGTAGAAATGATGCATTTCCAATGTAACCGGTCAATAAATGTGAGTAATTATCAAGGAGATTGTTTTTTTCCAAACCTTCAAATAAATCCGCTATTTTTTTGTTTTAACAATAAAACGATATTTTATTTTTGTTTCGTAATTTGTTGTAATTTAATTTACCCAACTCTTTTTCCTGCAACACTTGACCTTTAAAGACGTCATAGCCCGTGTGATTTGAGAATTGTACAGAATTTATGGCATCTACTTCGAAACCAAGTACCTTCAATTAAATCAAATAGATTAGCAAAAAAAGATATAAATATAACGTTACTTTTCAAACCTGTAATGGGAATGTAGCACTCTTGTTGCCCACATAACCGAAAACTACATGGCTTTGTATAGATAGCACTCGCCGATTTATAGCCTGTGAATTCATATTCAATTTTTGTTTTTATATTAGAAATAGTAAACAAAT